GGTTGGGCCGAGTTTGAATTTTGGTTTGGGACATATGTGGATGTGAGAAACTGGTTGAGGGCTTTGGAGCATATCACTAAGCACTTTGAGCAAGAAACTCATTAAGCAACACCTCATCCCCTCTTAATAGTATTAGCTTCCTATGGACTCAATGTGATCTTGGATCACTAAAATAGAAAATGTAGAGTCTTGAGCTTTGACCTTGAGCCAATCCTTTGTCCTCAGCATCTTGAAGGGGTTCCACATCCTATAGTACATACCACTCCATTGTTGAACTTATCTGAAACATACTAGATAGAAGCATTAGTCCAACAAGAGATATGTTGACATTAATTACCAAAATCACCCAGGGAGCACTTGTGCTTTCAGCGGTGGACACGAGGGACGATAACTGGCTCTGTTTAGAAGCGGTTGGCATGACACTAGGCGTGGCGGGCTCGGTTGTCGGCCATAGCGGAGCTGAAGCTTGAGGCGCAATAAACCAAGCCCCCTACATGGCGCGCCAAATGTCGGGGGATTGATTCTGAGCCACAGGAAATCCTCCAAAAATCCTGGTTCGAGCTCTAGGGCCTGGCTTACGAGGCTACGAGCTAGGAATGGCATGGACACAGCGAGCTACCCAGGTTCGGGCCACCTTGTGGTGTAATACCCTACTCCTGCTTGGTTTTATTGCTTGTGGACAGTGCTCTTAGAGCTACAAGATAAGCCGGTGCTCGTTGGGCGCTAGCAATGGCACTAGGGTTTGGGTAGGAGTCGATTGGTCGATCCTTTGCTACGGTGGCCGCCCTGTCCCTTATATAGATGCCTTGGGCCTCTTCCTCAAAAATATGAGCGGGAAAGGGCTACCACCGGGCAGAAATTTGAAAGGGGACATGCGCCGGTGCTCTTCCTAACGGAAGGTGATCTTCACCTGCAAAAGGTGTTATCCATGACGCGCTAGGGGCTCCACGATGACCTCAGTCCTGTCGCGCCACAGTCTTGGTCTTATATCACCAAAGGGAAAACCCTTGGGACTTTCTTTGGTGGCAAGTTGGCATAGCTGTTCCCTTAGCACGAAAGGGGAAACTTTCCTGGTCGTGCAGCCTGGCGCCTGCTTTGTCAACATCACCCACCCTGCATGGTTCCTCGGGAGGCCTTGAGAGATGGCACCTCACGAGGGGGCCTCACGAGTCCGCCTGCGGTGGTGGTGGTTCTGGTGAAATCCTATGCAGAAGAGAACCCCTCGCCGAGCAAGGCCCTCACGAGGCTATTGGCTTCATGGCGCCCGCTGGTGGGCTACCTCATGAGTTGGGCCAAGCGACCCTTCCTGGGCCGTAGGCAGGTGGCCCATGGTACCCTGGTTCCCACTGGGCCAATAGTTGCAAGTGTCAGATGATTCATAACCAAAATTACTTCAAAATCCATCACATTGGAATTTCTCCATGCAAATTTCTCCTATGTGGCCATAAAGCAGTGCCACGCGAATGTGGTATTCTTTTGGTCTTGCAACGTTTAACGCCAATGTTATGGATGTGTTATCTTATCAACAATATTCATAACATACATCCCATTCATAATGAAAGCATGAACCTCATGTTATTCATAACACCAAACAATAATTGTTCTCTTATGAACAACCCTCTTGCAACAAACATTATGCAAAGGGCTAGGAGTGTATAAAACTCTAAAGTGAATTATCAATATAAATGCAGAGGTAATACACCGATTGAAGGTATAGTAATTTTTACTATGTACCGAACGCCTATCTAAACCTCATTACTGGCTAGTCTTTAGGCCATAGTAGTTCTTGCATCGAGTTGCAACAGAATGCAATCAAATGGGTGTCCTTGCAATCAACTCTTAATCACAACACCTAAGAATCAGTGACTAACAGTTTAATTGCAATTCCCAAGAATTGCATCTTTGGTACAGTCGGTGCTTTGCGCTATGCCCATTCATGCCATGATGGCCTTGGACCTGCCAATGAAGACTATAGCTGCGATGAACAAAGTGTGCAGAGGGTTCCTATGGTGCAGACGGGCCGAGGCAAATGGAGGCAACTGTGCGGTGGCATGGGATTCGGTATGCTCACCAAAATGGGTTGGCGGTCTAGGGCTACCGAATCTCAGGTGGCTCAATGTGGCCATGCAAACTAGATGGCCGTGGTTAGCAAGGGTGGATGCGAGTCAACCATGGAGTGAGTTCAACATAAAAGGCCCCGCAAGAGACAAGGCTACTCTTTCGGGCGGCAACACGAAGTGAAGCACGGTGTGGCCTCGCTACACTCTTCTGGGAGGATCGGTGGATTGCTGGTATGAGGGCACAGGCGATCGCTCCAACTATATATAACAGAATTCCACCGTGGATTAGAGCTACAATGATGGTTGCTCCAGCCATCGAGGATGGGTCTTGGGCATTGGAGATTGGACCTAACCTTGGGGTAGAGGAATTGCATGAATTCCAGGAGCTATGGACTAAGGTGAGCACATGGGAGCCACAGATTGATGTGCCCGACACCATCGCTTGGGCATGGGAGCCCAACGGCCACTACTCTGTACGATCCGCTTATGCAACGAAGTTCTGGGGCCGGACTGTGGATCCAATGGAAAAGCTGGCCTAGAAATCTAGGCCTCCATCCACATGTAAGTTCTTTGCCTGGCTTGCATTCAGGAACATATGTTGGACCTCGGATCGTCTTGCAAGGAGGGGTCTACCACACCAGGATACATGCCCCTTATGTGACCAGGAGGATGAAACCATCAATCATGTTCTACTCACGTGTGTGTTTGCGAGATCAATATGGGCGGTGGTATGCGAGGCTTTGGGAAAGCTGGAATGGTCGTCGACGGCACAAAACTCTCTTGCCACATGGCTACACGAGAAGCAGGGGATGGACAACTGCAACCAAAATGATCTACATACCCTCTTCCTACTAACACTTTGGGAGATGTGGAAGCATAGGAATGTAATTGTCTTTGATGGAGCATCGCCTTCGGTTGTCGTACTTATTGGTAGGGTTAGGTCGGAAGGAAGGTTATGGTTGGTAGCCGGCAAGTTCAAAGGGGATGTAGAACCCTTCTTCCTTCGGCTAGAGCGGCGGGTGAGTAACGAGTAGTAGCATTGTAACGCGAACCTTGTAATATTGGTGGAGGCATGCTTTTTCCTTTCTTCTTTAATATATAATATGCACACTCGTGCATATTCGAGAAAAAAAGAATTACATCTTTGACTAGCCTTCTGTTCTATACATCTATAACTCGTATGACATTCATACCTGAGTTGGACCTTCCAGTCTACTTTCTTTTTGCCTTCATACTTGTAAGAATTTTACTTCTAGTATTTTTCTACTCATAGAAGAAGCACCCAACTTTTAAGAGTGGAGCTAGCCCTAGATTTCCTAGGCGTGTAAGTCTTACTAACACCCTTCAGACTTGTCATTTCTCTTTAAGTTGTTGTTTTATTCACCATCATCCAGGGTCGGACCTAGCCTAATGCAAGGGAATTCAACGCATACCCAACATTTTCTGCTAATTTGTTTCAGTATATATACCCATATATGCATATATATCAAGCATGGCCATCATTTTACACCTACCACGCATGAAATTCAGCAAAGAAGCGGTCGAGCGCCTCGCTTCCTTCCCTGGGTCGCCGTCTACACTAGGCCTTGACTTGGTCTGTTGGTATTGCAATCTTCCAGCGATAGCTGATAGAGCCTAGGTCTGGGAATCCTATTGCTAAAATAAAAGGTCTAGGAATCCTGAAGGAAAAAGGAAAAAGCAGCCTAGGTATGGGTAGTGCATCGCTAATAGGACATACATCGCACCGGTACGTTGCTGATCGCCAGATAACCGATGATCGATAGGGCATCCGGCATCGTCGTGTGGAATTGCAGCATCGTGTGTGCTCGCCTCGCCCTCGTCCTCGGCAGGGGCGACACTCGTCCGACACGCAGCGATCAACCGCTAACAGCTGCGTGCATATCATTCCTCGGCTAATAGGCTTGGCACACTTTTAGTTTTGTAATTCTGAATTTTAATTGCCAATTCAGTATAGTGGATTATATTTATCCTGTAAGTTCATCAATTGATCTACATGTATTGGCACTATCATTTATCTCTTTGAGAAAGGGTTTTGTAGAGTTCAATTTTTTTCTGACTATATTCTTGCAATATAAACAAAATATTGAAGACCTTGTTCCAATAAATATAATAATTAAAATTTAGTTTCGATGATTGTAAACATTTATCTCTTAAGAGTGTTGCTTCACACTAGAAAAAAGCTTCGCATACCCATGCCAGAAATCCTGGCTCCGCCACTGCCTTTCTGGATATCTCTCATGAGCTATTGATCACATGACTGGTGTTCTTATGGTGTTCTTATGGATCCCATCTCTCATGAGCTTCACTCATATTTGCAAGCAAACATTCCTTTGGATATCTCATATCTTTTAGCCTTTGTTTGTATCTGAACATCACAAGTTGTGCTTATTTCTCTATTTCCTTTTGCTTGTTGTCTGTAATTTGGCTCCTCGACACTCTGTATCGCCTAGCCGTTTGGCTTTATTTATAAAGTGGCGCAGAAGTCTATGCTCTAAAAAATATAAGGACACAAGTGAGTATGGAGGATATTAGAACTCCTTTTTCAGGTTCTTATAATTGCAGTCTTTCTCTTTCCCTAAGAACAGTTGGCTATCTTGTCACGACATAATTTACGATTAATACACAGATTTCTGTAACTGATCTACACACTGAGATATTTTGACATTTTGTGCAAACATAAAACATCTGGAACTATTGCTCCTAAATGTGTGTCCGGCACTCGCTAAAATGCGCTACAGGAGCATAGACTATTGTTCTAATCATGTGCAGTGCAGTACATAGTCAACAACTCAGTATAGCCCATGTGAATAATTAATTAAAGATTCATATAGTTTATCTGTACAAACTGTGCAGTTATGTACTTCGACTAATTTAGAAAAACACTGTTGAGCTATTATTCATCTTCGTTTACGGAGAACTTCATGATCTGTTGAGAATCAGCGAGCAGGCTACAGAAATTATGAACCATGTCAACAAGAAGTAGCCGACAAGCTTTGTAGGAAACTCATCTTCCGGTTCCTGTTTCATCAATTAAGCACAAACAACTCAATACCTTTTCATAACCAAAGCGACATACATAAATATAGGAAATTTATGTTAGTAGCTGAAACACACAATTTTCGTGCAAGGATTCTAATAAGGTTTCCCGTTTATCAAGTAGAAAACAGCTCCTAGAGTTTCAACTTTCAAGTTCTACCTACGCAGTTTGGATTTTATGAGCTCAGTACATATGACTCCTATGTTTCTTTCTTCAGTTTAACAATGGACAGTTTAGTTGTTTTTAAAGGTAACACTTCCTAATGACGATCATCAGCTTGGAGTATGTTGATGAGCTTGCTCATCATTACGACTAGTAAAATGTTAAGTGCTGAGCATTCATCTAGAAACCATCTATTCTGCTACGGGCTGATGCTGACCTTAGGAGGATCTGGTGCCAACTCCATGGGGTCAACTTCAAAGGGCCAAACATATCGCTCAGGCTGCCCATTCCTCGCCAAGCTCCAATCATATAATCTTCTCTCTTCCTCGGTTGATAATATGGTAAAAGATTCCTGCAGTGGTGCAGGTATATTAAGAATAATTGGAAATTGTAAATTTGTAATGGATGGAGAAAAGTATTCTGACTCTTAATAGTGGCTCAAAACCTTCAATAGGTCATGTTCCTTGCTGATTTCCTCTTCTTCCAGTCCTTGCTTGTTTAGTTGTTCACACCTTTTCTCATATGCAGCTTTGACCTGATTTCAAGGTTAAAATCAGGTGATGCTGGGTTGGCAAGACTTCACAAAGTGCACTTACAATCTTATTACGAGTTATACA